TAAAAATAAAAGCGGGTAAGGGACCAAAATTTTCATTGGCTGCGGCGGCGCAAGTTATATCGTGCGCTTACCGACTGGCCAGGTTTCTTCGTCTGTTGAGGCACGAGATGCTCGGGAACAGTGTTTATTTGTGTTTGGGCGGTGTCCTGTTCCCCGAGCAGATGAAATGGTTTGATATGATTAAAATGTAGTATTTTTGGTTTACTTTGAGGCGCAGCAACGCTGATAGTGGATAACGGTAGTTAACCCGCAATTTCCTATGCTTTCAAAATCTTTTAGTTGAATTATCGTTGTCGAATAGAGTCGTTAATGAGCCCACACGCATGTTTGGGCCGCGCGCGAAAATTTTGGCGGGAAAATCACTAGCTCGGAAACCAGAAAAGCTAGGGAGCTAGAATTTTGAGACGTACTGGGCCGCCAAATTTTTTTCGGGTAAGTTCATAACTCGAGAAATTGAGAAGCTAGAACGCTGGAATGTTAGGGATCATCTTCGATATCCACTACTCGATACTGACCCTTCCACGGTAGAGTTAACTTTCGTGAGAGGCCTTTCGCTTGCGGACGAGATTTAAGCCAAACTCAGTCGCCAACTTTAACATGATGGCTGCGCTCCTTTTTATCGTACTGCCGTTTCATTTGGAGAAACGCATGAGCCCACCACAGAGTTGCTTGCTGCCAAGCTATATGCAGACGCTTGATGAGCTGAGCCTTGTACATCCCCACGTCAGTTTTAGCGTAACCTTCGCGCGTTTGTGGGTCCAAAATAACATCGGCGCAAAAGATGGGATCCCTACCAAAGACTAGGAAGAAGAGTGTTTCGTGCGTCGTATCATGGATGGATGTATTGTAGCAGCAGGCAATGTACGGCAAATGCTCGCACAGTTACGTTGGTCGGCAGCAACCATCTTCGCTAAAACATCCTGTATCGTATGAAAAGAGCGCTCAGTTATTGCATTCCCTTTGGAGCAATAGGGCGTTGCGTACTTGTTATTTACGTTCATCAGCCAGCAAAATTCTTGGTAGAACTCGCTAGTAAAGGCGGCCGCACTGTCTGAGATTATTTCCGTACAAGCTCCAAACTTCAATATGAATTCCTGCATTAGTGCGTCGGCTATGGTGATCGCTTTGGCATCTTCCAACGGCACTGAAATCAGATATTTGGAGAACCAGCAAATGATGTTCAAAACGTACTTCTTTCCTGTAGCCGAAAGTACAAAAGGACCCGAAAGGTCTATGCCGATCCGTGCAAACACTTGTGTGTTAACCGGGGCGCGCATCGGAAGTGGGATTTCGTCGCATCTGGCACGGCACACATGCCTTGCACCACATCGCGACGTCGGCTGCTTT